AATCCTCCTGCCTGAGAGGGAATGGACAGAGAGCCCTGAAGCCTGCTAAGCCTTCCTGACTTCACGTTTCTAGGAGAATCTTATGAGAAGGAGATTTTCCTTTCTAGGAGAATCTTATTCCAGGGAACAGTTATTACATATGCTGTTCCCACTTTAAATACTAGCTTCAAATGTCTTTTTTACTAGGCTCTGCAGAGTGCTGTCAGCTACAGGCCCATGGGCTGGAGGGGGGGTCACTGGCTTCCTATGACCCACAGAGGTTTATTGGAGCTCTACTGGCACACCTGCTGCTGTTCTCCTCAAGCTCAGAAGGACCCCAGGGATAAACTCAAAATACAGTGGCCACCTTAAAGAAATCAGGAAATTTCCCCTGAGAGGATGGGAGGTAAATCCACTGAGGCATAGCCATGCATTAGATTGCATGCCACTATATGTAGCAGAAAAGGAGGAAGGTCTGCGATCAAAAGCTTGGGACACTGCACCTTGCTTTGAACACAAACGTCATCATTCACACTGAACTTCCAGAGTCCAGGGAAGAGCACAGTGGAGCAGAGCTCTGTGGGTTTTAGCACCAACGGCAGGGAGAGGTATGAGCTCTCCTCCTGCCATCTCCAAGGCTTTGCTCAGTGACCGCAGGAACAGCCACTGAGAGGCACCAAGGGCAAGCACCCGCATTCCAAAACCTGGGGGAGATCTCGACACCGGCCCACAGCAGTCAATAAAAGTAATGCTGTGGCAATCACAAGGATGTGAGATTCACTGCGTTATTTTATCCAGTACATACAGTAATCGTTGTGACCTTCAAAAGAAAATACAGTTAACGCTTTGCATTTTTCCTAAATGAAGTGACAGGAAAAAGCAATGGAAAGTCCCGCTGCAGTTACACCTACATACATGGAGCACTGCACAAAGAGGGAGAAAAGGCTGGATCAAAACTAGAGAAATTCTTAGGTCAGATGCTCTTATTAGAGACCACTGTTCTAAACTTGCCATCTGCAGCCCCTGGAGCTCTGGCTCTGCCTAGGCTTTACACAGCCACGGCTCTCCTTGCAGCCAGTCCCATCCAGCACCAAATCCTTGCACCGCCTCTGCCAGCGTCAACCCATGGTTCTAGTACATTTCTGGAAAGGACAAGATTTTCGTGAGGGTTTGCTGAGGGATTTTTACTTGTTCGGTACTGCATAACCTTAAACGAGGCATTTTATTTCCCTTTGCTTCATTGCCCCTTCCTCCTTCCTGATTTCTTCTGAGAATTTGGAAAGCACTTTGCCATTTCATGACGCTGTGGGGTGTTTTTTTATAATCAATATTTTGATTATATGTTGTTTTACCTAAGAAAAGGCCAAGTGCCATTTTCCCCTCACCCAAGGAGCAGGGGACACAGGAGGTGGCCATCCCTGGGGAACATACCTTGGGGCTGCCAGCACCTGCTCCCACCTGATCCTCAGTATGCTGAGGACACCACAACTCAATTCTTGATTTGCAGCTCACTGAATCCTGATAGAGGAAATATTAAACGCACGTAGTCAGAGGGGGGAAACCCAATATCCCATCTTCTAGCTCAGAGTGATGCTGTGCAGGGCAGATGAGGGAACTGTGAAGTACCCTGGCTGCAGAGGACTGCTGCTGGCCAGGATGGCCTTCGCCTTCCTTGCAGCAGCCCACACTGTGCTTTGCACTTGTGGCTAAAACAGTGTCGATAACCCACTGGGGCTGTGGCCATTGCTGAGCAGTGCGTGCCCAACACCAAGGCCATTGCTGTTTCCCACTCTGTCCCCCAGCAAGTAGGCTGGGCATGAGCAGGAGGAGAAACAGCCCGGACAGCTGGCCCCAGCAACGTCCCATACCATATGGGGTCACACTCAGCAGTAAAACCAGGCCCTTGACTCCTTTCGGTGTTAGTGGTTCAGAGTTACAGGTAGGAGACAGTGCAGATCAGCTCTCCTTTAGTTTTAATTAGATCTCATTCCTGTAAAACACTCATTGCATGCATTCTGGTGCCCTTTGGTTAAGGGACACAACGAAGAGGTTACAGCAAGACCGACAGTGCTGAGTGGAAAGGTTTGGTTTAGCTCACAGGGTAGTCACAAAACTTCCTATTCTGCCACCTGCCCACCTCAGGAGCCACGCTGTCCCCCTCCTCCATCACAAATATCACCATTTACGAATGGTTCTGTTTCTCCTCAAAGCTGCTTCAAGAAAATTCCAATGAAGCATCAGGTCTTGCAGACCATGAGAGATGCAGGGTTTCTGCTGTGATGCTCAAATCACACATTCTTGCTTCTATTCTCTTGTAAATCACGGGTTCTTGTCACTGCTCAGCATTACAGTCAATAGTCATCTTCCAATACCCACTGCAGCAAGGGGAACTATGGCATTTCTGTCCTCTCATCTGCTCTCCTGGAGCAGAGCATCCTTACCAACATATTTTTGCATGCAGACATGTTGCTGTGGTTATCCTTAGTAGGCAGTTAGAAGGAAGGGCCTGGCTCTTGGGAAAGGGATTGCAGCAATCATCTCCTGTTGAAACCCAGCTGCCACCATCCAGATAGCTGCCAAAATAACTTCAGCTGTCACTGCATGGCAGGAGGTCTTTCTCAAATTTGCTGCAAAACCACATCAGCACACTGAATATAAGCCACTAAAAATATTAAACAATGACTGCAAACAAAAGATTAGGTCATTTTCCGATGCAGCTTCTACAAGCTGCACTATACTTGTTTCACACAGGTCAGGTTGCTTTTGCAGGACCAAAGGATTGTACAAAGCTCTTGCTGCACCACTCCCAGAAAGGCAAACTGCTTGCACAGCTCTGCACACACACAAAAAGAGCCACATTTTGAAAATTTAGGCCATGATAAAAAGCATAGCTAAAATAATCCAGAAATGAGACACTTGTACTCAAGTAGTTTCTGCCTCTTGAGAGGCAAATGGGGCATCAGAGCATTGTTTATAACATTGAGACCTCTGGAAATCACAACAGAATCTTCTAGCTGAAAACCAAGTGGAAGGCATGAAGCAAATTACTAAGGTTGAACTGGGGCCAACACATTAGCAGTCACAGGAAGGGCTGTGACTGACACATTACTAAGGTATCTGGGCAAGGAATCAGTCACTTTTCACCTCAAGTGCTTGGTACTCCTTCCCCTCCCTGTACTCAGGTGGCTGTTGGAAACATTATTTCCATGAAATCCCTTTATTGGCTGCAGGACCAAAAATCCTGAATTCATAGCCCAAGAGCATTTCTCATGCTCTCTGCAAAACATCGGCCAGAGCTTGACACTTGACCTAGGGCTTGCTTCTCCACCTTTGAGCAGGTGCAGATACCACACAGCCACCTCCAAGGTATATTCAAAACTAATGGCAAAGCTTGCCCTTGCCTGCAGCAACTCTGGTTTGCCCTGGGAGAGCCTTCACCATGCCACGCCATTGAGAACAGGCTGGAGCACATACCTGAACTCTTCATCTAGGGAATGTAAGCTGCTTAGATACCACAGCCATGGACACCTCAACAAACAAGCAATAGTTTTGTGTTTGATCTTTCCCATCCTTTCCTGAAAACACACATACAAGAACTCACAAGGGAAGCTTACAGCCACAGCTTTCAGGGATCATGACAAGGTTTTCTCTCACATACAGGACAGTACTCACCTACTACAGGCCAGAAGGGTGATTTAATGTTAAAGGGAAAAAGGACACATGTTGATGCAGTGCTGGCAGGAAAGCATTCCAATTTTTAGGGGTCTTCCAAGCACAGAAGCTGATGCTGTGCAAGCAAGATGCTACCATGACAAGGGACTTCTCTGTCGCAGGAAAGGCAATTTGCCATTAAGCCCAAGAAGTTTGCTGTGAACAGTGAGTCTGGATGAGTTGTACTTGCCAGGTACACAACTCCTTTTTTGAATCTGAAAACGTGGGTTCAAGTCATGCAAGTGACCAAAACATACTGCAAATTTGATTTTTATTTCCTTATTACAGAAACTAAATGCCTACATCTTGATTAAAACAAGTTCACCACCACAGGAAAAAAGCATTCTGTTTATTCTCTAAAGCACACCTGCTGTGAACACAGAACAAAGTCTAATATCAGTACACAAACGCTTCTTCTTAGTGCACCTCTCCATTGCAGTTTCTCCATTAGTTTTTTTAAAAAATCATTACACCTTAGGTATTTATATATGCTTGCATTAAGCTTTGCATGATCTACCCATAACACAATTCACTTCTAGAAGTCAGTTAAGAAGCTAAATCAAAAAGGCCCCTTAAGTTTGCTTTATTTACAGTTGCAATGGCTAAATTTTAAATACTTTACAGTCGCTCCCAGCACTGGCTCCCAATTCAAAGTATTAGTGCATTCTGTGATTTCTTTATAACTATTTTCTAGAGGGGATTAAGTTCTCCATACCTACAGCTATGTAGGTACCTCAGCTATCTACATAAGTACCTTATAGGAAACAAACATGCTGACAAAAATATTTATAATAATGAATGACAAATGAGAAACTCAACCTTTAGGAAGAATGGACAAGCATTTGGTTTTCTGCTGCAGTCATTGTTGACTGTGGGAACAGCAGCAACATGGAAGAAACAGCAGTTAAGGAGTGCTGAAGTCCAGAGCGGGTATCTCTGGTTCCTTTGTAAAGACAACTTTATATGTTCAGCTCATTTCCTCCTTTCTTTCACCACCTCTCCCCCATTACTGCTTTTTTGTTAAATCAATTGCAATAGCATGCAAATTTACTTCAGAGGGCAAAAATAGTAACAATGCACCTGCAGACAGGCAAACTTGTGTTACCTGAATAAAGACAGATTGTTCCTCTGAGCTTTACAGTTTATGAGTGGACGCAGGTCCTGTGGCAATTGAGAAACTGCTGTAAAGATTAACAAATAGGATGCACATGCATTTATCTGTTCTCACATACTTTCAAAACCAAAATGGAAGGAAGAAGTATCTGTGATTCAGGTAGGTCCAGAAGATTTTTTTTTTTCCCCTCACACAATAAGGTACATTACTTAGCACATTCCAGGTTAAAAAAATTACAGTAAACATTCAGTAACTGGAATGCATATAATATACAAGTACCATTACATTTACAAAGCTGTTCAGGACAATTTTTTCTTTCTAGAATAAGCATAAAAAAGTTACAAGCTAATTCACAATAACTTTAGATACAATGTTATTAAAATACATTGATGTTAATCATAAAAATATTTTACTATTTACATGTATATTGTATAAACCTTAACAATAAGAATATGCCCATTTTAGGATGCCTTAAATGAATATTTAGGCAAATTGGCCCATTTTATAGTGCAGTATCCCTGTTTTGGTCTTCACACCATGAAACTGTACCAGATTCACAGTATCTTTGCTAGTGCTTTGCTAAAAGGCTTAAAACTTTCTATTGTTTAAAGAAACATTCATTCATTACAAAGAGTCAGTCTTGTTTCCACTTTGTTTCTTATTAAATCCTACCCCCAATAGTTCAGGACACTCTGCCTGGCCTTGTGCGATTTGGTTGCATTTCCAAATAAGGCTGTAATTCATTTCATCAGTTATCACACTATCTTGCTTGTAGTCTGGATGCTGTGCAATAAATTCTCTCATCCATCGAGCAACCGTCATTAATTCTCCTGTGCGCAAGGGGAAGTCAAATTTCAGAGTTTATACATCTAATTTAGCAGTACTATACCTAAAGTTCCATGCGTGTTATATGCAATTAATGGATAGTCCATGCTTTCATGAGAAACACATTTCTATACTTTTTAAAAAATATGGCTAAACTACAGGCATAATAAATTAAGCTGACATATTGCTGATAGTCAAAACCCTTGTGTCGTGCGATCTTCAAACTTTCAGCTGTTGTAACAAGACAGTGCAGAGAGAAGTAGCTACTGGAACAGGTGTTACCAACAGACTGTATAGCAAGAGGGCTTAAACACGTCATTTAACAGAGAATCTGCCCGAGACAAACCAACAGTCACCGCTACAGCAACTACATATGTATAAAATAATTTTGTGGCTGATCCATCCAACTCGGCTGCTAGCTTTGCTCTGTCTACCTTGACTTAATCTTCTACTTTCTACCTCTGGCAGCTCCCCTAGTAAAAAAATACGCAGGTTCTTGATTATACCAACTCCTGGCTCATACACAGTACTTCTGCTTTACTACGCAGGGTTCAGCTGACCACAGAGCAGTCAGCAGGTGCTTAAGGGCCCCTAACACTTGTATACAGGGTCATCAAATGGCACACACGACTTGCAGGAGACCTGCATCCCTATAAAGTAGCAGCTGAAGGCCAGCAGGACACCAGTGTTTAAACTCCTGAATGCAGCACATGCAAGCAAGCATCAACTAGTACAAGTTTGAGGTAACTCTGACAGTAAGACATTAGGGTAGGCTGACGGGAAGCTTGAAGAGTCTAGCAAAACTTTCATTGCTACTGGAACATCACAGCATCCTTGTAAGATTAGAAAGGGTCAAGGGCTTCCACTACACAAATCTTTGGTTTAAGAGTATTATAAAAAGCAAGAGGAATCAAGTTAGGGAAAGCAAGGAATAACACACAAGTAAAAAGCATCCAAGACTGTTTTAAGGTATCATATCAGTGGTTCTGAACAGAGGTACACAAATACAAATCAGAAAAATTGTGAAAAGTACAAGAAAAGCAGAATAAATACTGTTATTAGAAATAAGTGTTCCTCAAAACCCAGAGATCATGTTTTAAAGAAATGAGGCCAGAGTTTACAGTTCTATATAAAAAAGGCAGGAAAAAAAAAAATTACCCAAGAAGCACTATTTGTTGAAGGCACTAAAAAAAGCCTCACAAAAACTTTCTCAAAGCAACAAGCCAGTGGCCTGCAAGAAAATCAGTGGGGCTGGGAGATGAGCAAAGCACAAAGAGACATTTTTGGACTAAAAGCCACTGCAAGCTGTGAGCATGGAGGAGGTGGGACCACAGTCCAGCTCACACCACCACAGACACCTAGTGGTCAGGCAGCCCAAGCACTCCTCATCCTTTGAACTGGCGTAAATTTGTAGCACCTTCATCGTGAACACAGGGCACAGCGCTCAAATAACACATGAGTAACAGGAAAAGGCACCGCAGACTGACAAAAGGTGTGAGACAACTTTCAAGCGAGCAGAGACAAGACAAAGGGAATTGCAAGTTTGGAAGCAATACTATACTTGAGAAGTTTGCAAAATCATGAATGTTCATGAGAAGTGACTAAAGAAACATTATCCTACAACGCAGGAAATATCAGTTATTTCATGATAAGCCTTCTGAGAGCATTGTAAAACTACAGGAAATACATTTTTTCAAAAAGCATTAATACAATCGTGGCATTTCTTATTGTTTGACTTTATGGGGACCATGCTTCAAGAAGGGCAAGGCAACAATCATGGAAATTGTGTTTGCAAATGGTCACCAAGCACCATGATTACTGCACTGCCTTTGGCTGAGAAAGCACCTACACTGCAACAGCCAGGAACCAGGAGAGCATGCCAGGACAAGGGTCACTTGATGTTGCTATCTTAACATCACTTTCATGAATATTTGGTGGTGGTGGTCAGCAGCTGCTGCCTGCCTAGCAAATCTGTAGTCTCACTGAGTGCTGGCAGTCACACAGCAGTGAGATGGAGACCAGGAGGGCAATACCTAGCCGTGCAGCAAGTAAAGATGCAACTGAAGCACAAATGAACAGTGCAGAACAAGGTTAAAGCCACAGCGGCTAAGGTGCTAGTGGTTAACACTCAGTGCTCTGTGTCCACCATTTGAAGAGAGAAATGTGAAAAATGGCCACTCTTTGTGGACATGTCCCATGCTAGACAGGCTGCAGTTCAGGAACATTTGATTTAAGATTCAGAGTAAACTGGAATAATCCAAAGCTCACAACTGAGAAACATCATGGCACAACAATACAATCCCTAATGCTTTTTATTCTGTGAATTCTGGTTCTTAGGAAGCATAATTTAAAAGAATCACTTCAGTTTATGGGAGTTAAGATACAAGCGCTAGACTATCTACCTACCTCACTCTCACACCTTTTAGGTCTGTGTAAGTACACGAGCTGACTTTTGCTATACCCACGTCTTTGCACCAGGTAGCAAAGTTGTTCTTTGGAAAGGGAATACCTGCAATAGGGGGTCGAGCCCAGGTCATTAGTTCTTGGGGAAAAAACCTCCATAGGACTTAAGCACTTTTTTCCCCCTCAACAGCACCCTTCTGAAGGGAAAAAACCCAACAACAAACAATGAAATATTTTGAAAGCATTGCTATTTTGAGGGCTCACGTGCCTCAGATTTTTTCTTCCTGCCAGTGTTTCTTCTCTCCCTCAGTTAAGCCAAGCATTAAATCCCCATCTAGGTTACCTGAGGGACAGAAGCCTCCTACAAACAAGCCAGCCTTAGGAAAGAACATTTACAGTGAAAGCTGTAATTAAAACTTGTGCCCATTCTGAAGTACTGCTAAAGTACCGAATTACCAGGTGAAAGAAAGTCCTGATTTCCACCTCTGCTTTAAAAAGGTCTTTATCTAGAAGCTTCTACAGCAATTTTCAAGAATTAAAAAAAGGAATGCAACATTTTAATTTAAAACCAGTGAATATATTTCATTGGAAAAAAAAGATGCCTTGACTTGTAAGACTAAAATTAACTGTCTAGCTAAATTTACAGCAAGGCAGGCATACAAAGGATTTGCACATAGAAAGGCATAAAGCTGCTGCAGACTCTGCTATGTGCCCAGCTCTGAATTAAAGTTTAGCCCGCATCTTTTACTCACTATAACACTGCATTTTAAAAAGCATAAAAAGTCATTATGTTGCCTGCCTTTGAAAACACTGCAACATGGAGAAGACAGGGGAAGAGCCTGGTTTGTTCTGCCTTGACAGTTTTGCTACTTAGAGAAGGGCTTAGAGAAGGGTGCTGAAGACTAGGTCCCACCCTCTAGCATACCAGAATTTAGACTTATGAATGCTTTGGAGCAGCACACTGAGTCACACCAGTAACAGCAGGCTATCAGAAACAGCCTCACATACTCTTACAATGCTGAAGTGACAAGCAAATGGGATTGTAGTAGTTGGCACATATACTAAAGTAGACAATACACTGGCAAAAACAGCATTAAGCGGTGCTGAAAGAAATCTTGGCTTGGAGATACAATTACAGTGTAAGGAGTAGTCTAACTGCATCAATTACTCCTAATTTAAGTTCTAAAATGGATTACAAAACACTTATAATCAGAATTAGACAGGACCAGATTTAAGCCGGAAAATACATTCTAGTCCTTTACTCCTGAGAACTAGAGAACAGCCCAATTACTGTTTAAGTAGAAAAATGCCAGGAAAATTAATGTCCAAAGGCAAACAACATACCAGACGCTCTCTTTTTAATTAGCTTCAGGTAGTTTAGGATGGTGCACCTCGTGTCCACATCCACTTCCATGTTTTCAAGATAGGAATTCAAAATTGGGATCAAACCAGGAAAGACTCCTTCCTGTGTAAGAGAACAGAGTCAGCATAAAACACACTCAATCTGATTTCTAGGAGGGTGGAGTGGAGGGGGATGTTGTATGTTCCAGGTAGAAGAGGCTATGACCTTCCCATTGATAATTGTATCAATGCTCATTAAGGTATACTCTTCTGCATCGGTGCCTGTCCCGTTCTGTGCAGAGCCACATCCATCCACAACAGCATTTCCACCTTCATGGGTGACAAAGGGAAAGGAAGCAGTTAGAAGGCAAGAGATGCAATAAACATCCACAACAGTGTTAATCAGATTGCTGCTTGTGATACCTTTGCAAATATCTTTTCTGAAGTAAAACATTCCCTGCCGGACAGCATCTCTTTTCTGGGCCATCTTCATGTTTTCATCCACCTGGCAAAAAAGTTTTTCAGAGATTTGTGACATTTTAGAAAATTGGATTCAAACTCTCACATTTTGGTCTCATTAGCTGAAATTAGCTTATTTCATCACACAAGGCCAAGCTGTGGAGACAAGTTTTGTTTCATTCTTCAGAGGTCCTTGGCAAAACCGCAAAGAGATGATGTTCTATGAAATTAGGTCTCCAGCAAAACAGGTAATACTATTATGTTAGAATGTGCTACTCTAATCTTTTAAATTTGGATGAAAACACAGGAACAGCTATGATTAACAGGTTGCATCCCATCTGGCACACTTCTTTGCATATTTAGATGCAATTTAAATGAGTACAGAAGGAGAAAATTGCTCTTTCC